AGACTTCTCCTGTCTTGCCCACTGCTCCCCTCACCAGTAGTTTCGGTCTCTCTGCCTGTTCTACTCCCCACTCTGTCTCTGGTGAATCCTCTCATCCTCCTGTGCCTCTGGCCTGTACCCTGGCTCTTGTATAAAAATAAATAAATCTTTTTAAAAAAATCACTAAACTTTTGCATTTTTCTGAAACCCTGGTTTAGTGCATAATAATGTAGTCTGGCTGCCATATAACATATGGCCATGCTGCAGTGTTCAACACAGAAAACAGGAATTCCCGCAACTTCAAATGACAATTTCTTTTGAAAGCTTTGTCAGTCCCAGGATTTTCAACTGCTGCTATCTTTGTGTCCATTAACATAATTGTAGAATTATTCTTAGAATTTGCTTTTGTTAATCATTTTTCTTGTAATTACTGCATTGTGACCACTTTGATGTTTATTTTGTTCCTCCCCAATTCATTATCACTGAGTTCTTTTACCACTGAAAAAAAGAAAAGAAATAATGTGGATGGATTGAGGGACCTTGTTTTACTCTGCCCCCCAAGTTTAGAAAGTATTGCCCTGGAAGAACTTTTTGGTCTCACCAGACTGGTCCATTAATTATGCTCTGAACATTTTACGTATTCAGAGGCTATCTCTGAACCTCTCTTTAAACCATTCCATTCCCACTACCTCCTTGAAATTGACCCAGACTCCCCTATCATTGTGAGTCTCCCCTCTCACAAGTCATAATATCGGTTATCTCTACTGCCTCCTTACTAGTGGGTCATAAGCAGTAGTGAGAAATCTTGAATGCCTGAGCTGCTATCTATTTCTTGTATTTATCATCTGCCTCTTGAAGTATTTTATCTTTCCACCAAGATTTAAGTATCCAGAGAGCAGGGACCAAGTTTGACATCTGTTTCTTAGCAAGAATGAAGAAAGTGCCCTTGGTACGGAGGCTAGTTACAGAGATTTTGTAATGGGCACCTGTGACCTGATCTGATTGCTGGGAAGGAACAGAAATGAACACCAGCCTTGAGCAGTTCTCCAGGTTCCTAGCCCCTGTCCAGGATGTATGAGATGGCATCTGCTGCAGCTCTAAGCAAACAAGCTGACAGCAACTTCCAACAGTAGACATAGGTGTCTACTGACTCCTGATCATACAGCCAGCATGCAGGTAGGGGAGTATCAGAGGGCTTGTGGTTCTCAGACATTGCTGCTGGTCTTCTTCCTTCATCTGACTCTGAGATTTACTTAACTAACCATGGGGCTACCTTAAGTCACAGCCAGAATTCTGAGAGGTATGTGGCTGAATACTTAACCTTCCTGGTCCTGTGTCTATTATAGTCTGATATGTTGCCTAGTTCTGGTTCCTCATGAGGTCTATGGCCTGAGTCCCTTGCTGTAAGCCATGATTGCTGATACCTAAATGGCTGGTCATTGGCCTTTCTGGTTCCTTATTCCATAATATTTCTAATCAATTTCCATGAGTAACTGTCACCATGATTTAGTGCAGGAAAAAAATTGAAATCCCACTTGAAAGGAGAAGCTGCTCACAGCTGGAAGGAGACAGTGCTCTGTCTTATAGGGCTAAAGTATTGTAATAGTTATAACGTGGCGTTTGAGACTAGAGTCTCACAGTGTTTAGTGCTATGGACTTAATCATTCGTTCTTCAAACAACTATCTATCTGATGAAATCATGAGTGAGGGTGGGTACAAAGTGGTAGTTCAAAAGGGAGGAAATCAATCCTTTTTTAATGTAATTTTTATATTAAAATACTATTTAATTTAAATTCTAAAATAAAGACCATTAGGTTAATAAATTAAATTAATTAAAAGTTTTGATTAATATTTAGTAATTACATTTAATTTAAAAGTAGTTACTAATTAAAATTTTCATTATTAAACATTTCATCATTATTAAAAATTTCAAAATTGTATAATCCTCTCTTTTTTAGACATAAACAGATAATTCTTTATTACCAAAAACTTTTCTGCATTATTCTGGCAATATTAGAAAATGTGTCTATTTAGAAAATGGAATTCTCTAAAAGCAAATGAAGACAGATTCCTCAGGTCACCAAAGCTGAAAATCAGTATGTCCATGTTTCATTAAGCAAGATATCAAATATGATTTTAACCAAACATACATTAAAAGCTTAACTTTGTGTATATATATATTTTGTTTGTTTTTTTGTTTTGTTTTGGTATTTTTTTTTTAAGATTTGTTTATGTATGCATACAAGAGCTCAAGTGTAGGCCAGAGGTGCGGGGTGTGGGGGGGTGAGAGGATTCAGCATAGCCAGAGTGGGGAGCAGAACAGGCAGATCTACTGAAATACACTGCTGAGGGGAGCAGCGGGCAAGACAGGAGAAGTCTGCTGTGCCATGTGGGTCAGCTCCCTGGCCAGGGATCGAACCTGTGCCACAGTGGCTGCGGATAGCTTGATAGTGCTGAGACTTAACCCCTGGCACCACCAGGGAGGCCCTGTTTTGGTATGTTTTTTAGAAGGGAAACACCTCAGTGTGGAAATTACTAGTGATTTCTGTTTTCGTTTTTATTTCTCAAACCCTTAAGCCATGCAATATTTATAAAAATGGAATTGTGAACATATTTATAGCAAGAAAGGTCACCCTTTTCCATACTGTATTAGAACAACACACTTTGACATTTTTCAACACCTCAACCACATTCCTTTATCTTGAACATTTTGCAGTACGATCAGCTGAATGATGACTGGCCCAGGCTTTTTATTGCTCATGCGTCCACTGAATCAATCAATGTTAAGAAATGCTCTCCCTCTGTGACCAGAAACCATGAACATGGAAGTTTCAAACTCTGACATATTTGCAGAAGAATTGATGAGTCTAAAGCAAACCCACTTAATACCTTCCCTACAAGAAAGAAAGAATCATTCTTTGGCTTAAAACAAAGACTGCGCTCATTTGAAATTCAAATCAATTACCCTGACAACACAGGTTTTCACGTTCCTCTAGAATAAGGACAAATCGACCTCTCTGAGTCATTCTGCATTACTAGAAATTGTTTAGAAGAGCGGAATCATTAAAGTCTTCTCTGAGAAAATGAAGTAACAAAAATGTGTTCCTGATACTCTATACCTTTTCGATACCTTATTGCATTGACACTCTGCCCAATTACTATAACCTAAAGGATTCAAGGCTACAAAATCAACCTCCCACTGCCAAATAATACTGCAGGATACTGTCTGAGCTGATTTAAAACAGCATCCCTTTGAATCCTCCAAGCCACATTCAACTGGAACTGGGGTTAAATTTAGGTCGACATGGATTTCATAAAAGCAAAATCCTTTAAAGTTTGCATTAAAAATTCATGTATCTAACAGAACGGCCTTGGTTGGATGGTGATAATAAATATTACAAAAAGTTAATTTCCCTTCTCTGGGCTTTCTCAGAGGAAAGCTCTGCAGCTTTGTCCCTCAGCATATTGGAATATTTCATCTCTGTTTGGCAACACAAGCACGTCTGAATATAATGTGGCATTCTGTTAAAATAATAAGTTTGTGCAGCTGTGTTCAGGTCCGTTCCTCTTCATGTCACTTCGTCCCTGTCCTGCTTCCTGGAATTTATTCTACGGTCATAGAATCCACTGTATTTTATTCTTACTCCCTTGTTCTTTCAAGTAGCTGTGCTGAAAACACTAAATATTATTACTTTTTAACCCGAAATATTAAATATCCTTTTTCTCTAGACTACAAAGAAATCTTTTTGGCATAAATAACTTGTAAATATCCTAGTAAGTCCTTAGGTATACAGGAAAGGACACAGCAGGACGCTACTGCTGTGCTTGCCTCTGCCATTTATGCAGCCAGAAGATTCTACCTTTAAATGCTCACCAGAAGTGTGCAATCCATCTGTAAGGCACAGTAGGAGGAGCCTTACAGAGTTTGTGATGCTGTATAACAAGTAGATGACAGAACTGACTTTGCAGTGAGGCCTCCTGTAAGATGCATGATAGATGATAGATGGGGAAAATCAGGCTCTCCAAGACCCACCTCAAGAGTGGGGACAAGATTGGAGATCGTGAGGGAATCGAGGGACAGAATGCTCTTCAAGCAGTATCCAGCACATGGTGAGGGATCGATAAATGTCCAGGGGCCAGCACATACCGGTAATATATACTGATTGAATTAAGGAGCGTGTGAATGAATAAATGAACGATCAGCCAGATAATACCTGCTTTATGTTCCCAGGATAGATTTCTCGCCTCTAGACTTGAACTTCTGCTTAAGAAATGAAATAAGGTCTGCATGGTGGGATTCGGTAATGTTGCATAATGGACAGATTTACCCCCAGAGAAAGAGCGATGACTTGGGCCCATTCCACCACCGCCACCCCATCCCCACACCCTCTTCCCCTCCGCCCCCGAGAGAATCCCCATACCAGGTGTCAGGGCTGCAGGTAAAGGGTGGGGCCAGGGGATCATTACTGAACAGGTCCAATTAAAATGAAAATAAGGTGGGAGGTACAATTTTGAGTCCACCCTTACTTGTCCACACCCAGTCACTGCTGGGTTCTCTTGGTCTGCCTTACACACACCTGGGTTGCCAGTGTCCAGGCCTGAACCCCTTATACTTCCAAACCTCTCAGCTCCGTGATCCTCTGTCCTCCAGCTCAGGAGGCTTTTTGTGGCATCTGGGTGGGAAGACTGAGGCATGAAATGAAGACCCCAAGATCAAAAGTTCCTCAAGGCCCCATCCCAAGCATCTGTCCGCTCACAACCCCATTCTTCCCGCACTGAGATAGTGACCGAAATAGGGGTGGCAGGCAAACATCTTCAGTTGCTGTCCTACTGGTTATGGAGTAAGATGGGCCCCAAAGCATGGCTTTATGTATAAGAAAACCATTGCACTGAAATACTGCTCTAAATTGAAGGTCCTGATTAATAAACATGTCTGGAATGCCAGGGTCCTCCTCGAGAAGGCTTCCTTAAGCCATTTTATAGTGGTCTTTTTTAATCAAAGGAAATAATTTCTCACTCACCTATTTTCTGCCAATTACTGTTCAGCTCTGGGGACATATTTCAGTTCACTTTTAATATTCTGGATCTCCGACAGGTTGACTGCAGGTCCTGGAAGCTTCTTTGCTCCTGGAATTGGCTTCTTCTCCTCATCTGAGGCAGGAGGCGCACCCTGCAGAGAAAAAGAGAACGACAGATTCAGTGCACCAAAAAAGACAGTTGGTCTCTCTGGGTCATGGACATAAACCAGGAAAAAAAAGTCAAATAACATCAGAAGGTAAGTCTAGCAGTGACAGGGGTGCACACGGCCGGCTCTACCAGTGACTTAGTCCAGCAGATTTTCACCTTTTTTGTTTTTGTTTTTTTGTTAAGATTTATTTATTTATGCATACAAGAGCTGGGGTGCAGGCCAGAGGTGGGGGGTGCGTGAGAGGTGGGGGGTGCTGCGCCATGTGGGTCACCTCCCTGGCCAGGGATCGAACTCCTGCTGGAGTGGCTACGGATAGCTTCATAGTGCTGCATCTTAACCCCTTGTGCCACCAGGGAGGCCTTTTCACCTTTTTTGTTTGGGGTGCATTAGCTGCCAACCTCTGTTCCAATGACATTGCTGAGAAGAGTAAGTAAATGGCAACCGACATAAGCAAAACCTCTTTGATTGTGGATGGGATGGGGTGAGCAAAGGAGGCCCAGCACTCCCCTCCTGCTTTGGGAAGTATCAATATTTAAAATATTCCTACCACTTAATGTTTTCATGTTGTTACACCTCCATGGCAGGACAACTTCTTATACTTTTATTTTATGGCACTTCCCATGCCTGACACAGAAGTGCACACACATACTTGTTGATTGTTGTTTAACTGATTAATCCCAAGAATGTTCCTTAGTGAAACATCTATGCTTCTGCGTGCATGCACCAAACACACATTAACAGAGACTACAAAACACATCAGTTGTTGTGTGTGGCTCCTAGAACTCCAACTCATTGCTACAAAAGTAAGTTGTATGTCAACTCGTTCCTCCCATTTCCTGAAGGTGGCAGACACTTTCTCCAGGGCTGCGGAAGAAGGTGTTGGAGGAACATTTGATCCCCGTGGCAGGCCCGAGAACACGCCTCTCGGATCAGATTACTGCAGGGAGGGTAATTGAGTGATGGCCCCAGCTGCTTCGCTCAGAAACCTTCCCAGCCCCAGCTGAGGTCACGCTTCCCACGCCTGCTCGCAGCCAATGGCTGTGCGCCACAGGGGCCTAAGGCGGGCCCATCCCTGCGAGCCGGGGACTCTTCTGCTGAGGGACTTAGAACAGCTTAGAGCGCGAAGAGGTGTCTGCTCAACTCTGCCCGCTCTCCCTCACCCGCATCACCATATAACCACCCTCCCATTTTAACTTACAAGTATTTCCCCCAGTAAATACTTTGCAGATCTAATCCCACCTTTGGGTGTGCTGCTTAGAGAACACAACACCGTCCCCGTGTTAGCCAACAACTGGGTGAACCAGTAGGTTCCAGGGGGCAAAGGAGTCAGAAACTACAGGCTTGACTCGGATGCCAACTCCATGCCCATCCTTGCTGCCAGCCTAACCAGGCAGCCCTGTAACTTTACTGTTAAAGCTGAAGTTCAGTGGACCATGGTGGAGGATTATTTGTACCTTGGTGTTGGGTGTGGTATGGTAACATGCATCTGAAGAGGTGTCATCCTGTACACCTAAGTCACAGTGTTGTAAACCAACCTTACCTCAAAAAAAAATACAATTTAAAAATAACAAAGCCGATGCTGCTATTTTAGGCCCCATCTGGCTCCTCATATCTAGTTCTCAACTTGGCTAGAATCTAAGGGGAAAGGGAAGAACCATCGAAGCTCCCAAAATCTAACCAATTACTTGGGAGACACTTCCTTTAATGAAATATTTTTAAATTGCTTATTTGAGGGGATGAGTAGTAATATAAAATATCAAGATGCTATTCTACTAAAGGCTAATGGTTTTCCCTACAGTCATTTTCTTTGAATCTGGCACAGTGCTGATGAAATTGCTTTCTTGCGTTCACCCACAAGAAATGATAAAATAGCTCAATGTAGACTCTACCTGTCATAAATATCTGGCAAATATTGCTTCCCTAGATCAACACACAAAACCATAGGGTCAGCCTCAATCACGCACATTCATCACTTATAAATGCAGATGTAGAAGCAATGATTAAAACTGTTAAACATCCACTTGGAGGGCCAGACATTCCAAAATGTTCTTTGCTAGGCTTTTGGAAAGAAATTTTAAGCAAAGCTATAAAGTGTTGGGTTTGGTTTTTTTTTTTTTTAATATGTGTAGTGGTGAAATGAAAAATGTTTCCTCACTTATAATGTTCCCATGGTTGTTAGGTGGGTAGAGCTTAATAAAGAAGCATGAAGGAGAAAAATGTTTCCAATTTCTTCTGTTAAATTCTCAAGTAAGTCACATTCACTATCTTTGCAAAATCAAAATGTGCTATATTGGCACATTAAACGCATAAAGCCAAAGTGTGTAGTTATGTGTCTGTGTGCAAAGATTTATGATGTGAACACACATAGATAAAGAATGATAATATTTAACAGTAGGCACTTTCGAGTTATTAAAACCTCAACACACTGTATTTTTTACTTATCAAGCTAAGACTTGATTTGGTAAGGTTGCATATAATGGAAAATTATAAGTGGATATATTAAATATATAGATATTATGATATTGGCTCAGGAAGGAGGGTGACTGGTGGTGCATATCCTTAATGAATCTTCTCTCATCTTTCAAAAACATGAGAATCATATTCCATTTCTTCTATGAATGTATTATAAGAATGATAATCAATTAAGGCATGAACAAGCAGCGGTCCAGATGGCCCCATTTGACTAATAAGCACATTCTTTTTTTCTGTTGTAAGTAGACATTTGAAGTGAGAAGGGACATGGGAGACATTCTTTGGCTTAAACAGAGAGAATTTGAGAGAAGCTTTCTCAGCCCCAGCACCATTTGCTGCCGTTTCAGGAATGGCTATTGCCCAGGGAAGTGGTCCCATTGGGTTTGAGAGAGTGCTTGTAAAATTTGGCAAAATGGTGAGTCGTTTTCCAGTGATCTCACATTCATCTCTCTCTTATTACCAGATGCCCTATTGAGGTTTCCCCTAAACGCCCCTGCGTGGGGCAGTACTGTCTGATGTGCTCGTTCATGCTTAAACTCCGAATCTTTAGTGACACCAAAAACACTTGCGCTGCTAGCTCTTCCAAGTTACACCTACCGACTCATTAAATCCTCGCATCAGCCCTAGAAATCTGGCTGTTACTGTTACTATCCCTATTTCATAATTGAGGACACTGAGGCACAAGGAGGGAAAGCTGAGAAATTGCCCACAGCCTCACAGATAGGAAGCAGTGGAACCAGAACTAATGTCTGCATTTTATAGAGCGTCCAGGTGGAGAGGAGATAGCAGGAAATGCTAACATGTTATTCTGTGGCTTAATGATGGTGGAATTTCAGTCAAAAGAGAGATTTAGGGGGCAGGGGCGATGGGGGCTTGTCAATACCCTTTGAATCTCTCCGAGCGAGCCTCTGCCTTGTCTCATGCAAAAGCCCAGCCCTGCTGATTAGGATTTGCCTGTAAGGCCTCTACACAGGGCACCTGCCAGACTCTGGCAGGACAGAGCCGAGGGGGGCTGGCTTGCACTCCAGTTCTGTAAGCAGAGCAGAGGGCTCACAGAGAACACAGGTGGACTGGAAACCCCACCGGTGCTCAAAGGCTCATCCTGGCTTCCTGCTGGGGGACATTCGCTTCTTTACATCTGGGATGGTGTCCAGATTGAAAGGGAGAGGTACTGGCATGTAAAGGCGGCCTGTTCTGCCCAGGGACAGTATGTTATGGTCTCTGCTTTATATAGCGATTATCCTTTTCATTATTATTAATGAAATATCGCTGTTTTGCATCTTTATTAATATTTTGACAGTATAGGACTTCTCCCCCAGGTGTGGTCACCAAAAGTTCTCCCTCCACCAGGTACCCATAATCCTCCACCACAGTTCGTTGCACTCTCCCCCCACCCCCGCCCCCACCATGGCCATTCCGCAGATCTGTGGTCAGCTTTCAAGGGTTGGTTTTAAAGTTTGCCTTGGTCTGACTCTTTGTTTGGTTTCTCTATAGTCCACATGTAAGTGCAGTGATTATCTTAATGCAGGGTTAGGCAAGCAACCCCAAATCTAAGAAAGTAAACAATTCCAAGGTTGCAGACTCGATAATAATAAAAAGTGTGGGTATAGGGCCTCGCCGGTGGCGCAGCGGTTGAGCGCTGGGTTGCGAAGCTGCCCGCAACCTCTGCGGCGCCAGTTCGATCCCCAGCTGCTCCCCGGACACCAGAGGAGGGTCCCACATGGTGCGCAGACCTCTCCTGCCGCCCGCTGCTCCCCTCAGCAGTGTACTTCGGTCCTTCTGCCTGCTCTGCTTCCCGCTCTGGCTCTGGTGAATTCTCTCACCCTCCCGTGCTTCTGACTGTACCCAGTGCATGTATAACAAAACAAACAAACAAATAAATAAATAAATAAAACATGCCTCTATTAAAAAAAAATTTAAAAAAAAAGTGTGGGTATATAAGTTACTTTGATTTCAGGTTCCATTTTCCCATTCAAACTATGCCATTAAAGGCGGCGGGGCCTTAAGTGAGCCTATAAAAGCCTCCTTCACCTGCCCTGTAGCCAAGTCAGGCGGCCGAACTGGTCCCCTTGCAATGTTGTTACTATGAGGAACTTATTCCAAGGTGCAGCCCAGACGTGAGTCAGTAGATCTCACAAGTCCTGGGAATTCATTTCTGCTTATAAGGTAAGGAAATGCCACCCCTAACTCCATCCTTGCACCCCACAAACACCATAAAGAAGGTGTAGCTGACTTCAGGAGACACTCCTGGGGTCTCTGGATCTCTGTGAATACCTCCATTCCTCCATTTTGCAAACAACCCTGGTTGTCCTCTGTGTAAGTGGCTGCTCATAAAGTAGGTTTTCACAAACCAGGCATTGTCAGTTCTTGGCTATTTTAAAAGGTGCTAGAACCATCAAACTAGGGACAAAGCAATGGAGAGAGAAAGTGCCTCTCCAACCCTGAAACCAGGATAGTTGTATGGAAGAAACTACCCAGGGCGAAGAAGAACCAAGAGCTCTGGACCACAGGAAGCTGAGATGCAAAGCCACCGAAACAGCTGTTACTTCCGTCAACCGGGTGACAGTTGAGGGTCATGCTACCTTTCAACAGATGGCCATAGTAGTGACAGACAAAGCTTAAGAGAGGAAGAAGCAGGAGGAAAATCAAAGTACAGATAAATGGAGGTGTAAGAAGAATCACACTGCCCTCCCTTCCACCTCCCTCTACCTATGCCTTTTTCTTACAAAATGCAAAATAAGAGGTCCAGGAATCAGTTATGAAAACTGGATAATTAGATTAATTGATAAGCAATCACTTATTGAATACCTGCTAAGCTAGGCTATGTGCATAATATCACTGGCTTTTCACACTCTGAGGAACAGAGGGGGTCCTATTCTGCAGATACACACTCAGAAATAGTGGCCCGAAGTTCCAGAGGAAGAGCTCACGATCATGAGTTAACTGAATAGTCAAGTCAGCAACATCAGAACTTGAGATTGTGCACCGTGAAAGTAGGGGAGGGAGGGATCTTTTCAACTTGTATGTTCAAAATTTTATCCATCAAAGGTCTCTTAGTGGCTGAAATTCCAGAACTTCGTGGTGTCTCAAATGCACCATCTTTTCCCTTCAGAAATTCTCTCTCTGTTGATAGGAGTCTGGAACCACTAACTTAGAACCATGTCAGGAATTATTTATGAGGAAAGAAAGGTTAGATGCAGGACAACCAGTGCTTTATTGGGAAACTTTGAAATGGTCATAGGTGTTCTTCTGGGGCAAATACAAAAAATGTCACCTGCAAAAGTTAAAAAGGCCTTTCAACTTTTTGAAAAAAAGATAAAATAAGTTTGCTGTGTCCTGTGGCTTTATTTAATTTTTTTTTTCAGAATTTCCAGTTTTTATCATAAAAGTCATAACTGAGGATGAAATAGAACAATCCGGGAAGGAAAAAATCTCTATTTATAGCACTCATTATTAATTTTAGCTTCCATTTGAGAAGATTGAGTATTGAATTTGGAGGAGAGGTAGAGCATTAAAAGGAGGGGGAAAAATAAAGAAATTGATAGACTCCTTTGCAAAGGCCTCCTTTCAAAGGAAATACCCAGAGACCGAGGCTTTTTGTTTGAATCCACAAGTAATTTAATGTGCTTATTAACTGCATTCCCACTGGGGTTCATCACTCATGAGAAGCTGTACTAAATACATCGTGCTTGGTTCAATAAAAGTGCCAGAATGAAAACTGACCAAGCTAGTGACTGTGGCTGGCCCAAGAGCATCTGAGAAGCTAGGCTTCTCTCCCTCCCCCCACCCCACAATCAATCAATCAGCAAACTAGATGCTAAACTTGGCATCTTCAAGTAACTGTGCCAGGCACTTACATTCAGCAGCAGGCAGGGAAGGGGCTGTGTGTTTCATGGCTGATTATATAAGACGACAAAGAGTCCACAGCCTGACTCCTCAACCCACATCCATCCATGCCTCCCTGGTCCTGGGGAGATGCCCCTCACCTTGCTTCTACCCCACTCAGAATTTTGGAGGAGAGGGCCTCCCTGGTGGCACAGGGGGTTGAGCACGTGCTGTGAAGCTGTCCACAGCCTCTGCAGCGCGAGTTCCATCCCGGGCCAGGGAACTACCCACATGGTACAGCAGACCTCTGCTGACTCACCTGCTGCTCCCCTCAGCAGTGTAGTTCAGTGGATCTGCCTGTTCTGCCCCCCACTCTGTCTCTGGTGAATCCTCTCACCCTCTAGCTCCTCTGGCCTGTGCCCCAGCTCTTGCACAAATAAATAAATGAATGAATGAATGAATGAATGAATGAATAAATGAATCTTTTTTAAAAATAAAAAAAAGAATATGGAGGAGAAAGAGTGCTGACCTCAGCCAGCTAAATTTCCTCACCTCCTCCACTTCCGGAGTGCATTCTTTTCTTCTGGGGGGCTGCCCAGCTCCTGGCCGGAAGGCTCCCATTGGTATGTTGATATTTGCCTAGTAGAGAACACGGGGAGGATTTAGTATTGCAAAGGCACTCTGACACGGTAATCACTGGGAGGGGAAAACGCATCAGAAAAGTATATCTTCAAAGCTTTTTATCTCAAGAAAATTGCTGTAATGTCAGAATAAAAATATGTAAAGGAAAATTTGACTTTCATTTATTACAGATTTCTGGTACTCAGCCTTAGGTCTATGCAGTAATTTCATAAAACCCTTTTGGATGGAAGTCTCTAAAGACATTTTGTTCTGGCTGTTACCCTCCTGTGGTGCTTAATATTTTCCTCTCTCTGAAATGAGGAAAGAACACATAATGCCATCTCAAACCCTAGCCCTCCTCTAGTTCCTTCAGATTTACCCTGGAGGGGGGTAGTCACGCCTCCTAAGCTGCTTCCTTCTTTCCAGAATGTCCTATGGCCATTCCAGCACTTTCTTAGGTCTTGCTACTTGAATTGTTTTTAAATCTCTTGGCCATGGAATCCTTCCTTCCAGTAAAGTGTAATAAGACTATCTAAAATGCAAAGTAGGTAGAGGTTGAGCCGCTCTGGTTAAGGTGGTAGGGAGCCCAGAACCCCATCTGCTTCCCCCAAGTCCTGGACCCATCAACAGTTCCTTGGACATTGAAGGTCTGACAACCACCTCTAAGTGAATGAATACAGTTAACATGTTTCATAAATATGACATACAGTTAACATGTTTGCTCTGCCAATTTTTCAAGTGTCAGTAATTTGCTTTAAAATACTTTGGAATAGACAGTATGATATTTTATATGTGCAGGTATTTAAACTTCAAGTCTGGAGGACTCGGTTGCTCTACTGGGAAGTTCGTCCTCCTGGGATATGAGGTGGTAACAGCACTAAGCCCACATTCCCAAGATCACTACTCCAAGTGCTTCCCTTGGCCATATCCCCACCAACACCTGAAGGTTTGATATATTTTTTTAAAGATTTATTTATTTATGCATACAAGAACTGGGATAGAGGCCAGAGGTGCGGGGGGTGAGAGGAGTCACCAGAGACAGAGTGGGGAGCAGGACAGGCAGATTGACTGAAATACACTGCTGAGGGGAGCAGCGGGCGAGTCAGGAGAGGTCTGCTGTGCCATGTGGGTAGCTCCCTGGCCGGCCGGGGGATCGAACTCATGCTGCAGAGGCTGCGGACAGCTTCATAGTGCTGTGCTTAACCCCTTGTGCCACCAGGGAGGCCCTGAAGTTTTGATATTCGAGGACACACCAAAATAAGTGAAGTAGGAGAGTAAGCATTAGAATCGGCTGTTATTGATGAATTTAAAGGATGTGAAGATATGTAGACTGGCTAAAATGTTTTAGAGACAATCTCTACCTTGCTGAACAGAACATGAAAAGAGATAGAGCTGGAGGAGTGATCCTGGAACGGGCCAGTCTGCAGCCCTTGGTGATGATAAGGATTTCCATCCGGCTGCTGCCAACTGGCGTCACCAACCCAGCCCTCCCACAGGAGGGAGGACCCGCCCATCGCATGTGAACCTTGTGTGGGATGTGGTCACTCAGTGCACTTAGGGCACAAGAGGCTTCATCGAGTTCACAGGCAGACAGAACGATTTTATGCTCGCTTGTTAATGAATGTGTGTTTAAAAAATGTCTCTGTATGGTACAGTCAGGTTAGAGACTAACTTTCATCTTAACCTGGTGGTGAAGTAGTGGGACACCCCACCTCCATCCACCACAAACTACCTTATACCCCCGCCCAGAGACCCCCAAGACTCAGCTGAGGTTGTCACAACACCTGCATCCTCACAACAAACTTCTGACATCAGTACTATCATCTTTGATCAGTGAAGAAACCAAGCCTCAAAAAGGTTAGATTGTCTGCTCACGGTCATGTGAACTGTAAGGCAGAGTCAGGATTCCAAATGGCAGCTGTCTGACCTCAAGGACAGAGCTTTTCATTCTATCAAACCCTCTCCAAAGAGCTCTTTTCACTAGCCCAAAATTCACTAGACTAAACTAGCTCTAAAATTACAGACTTACACCTTGAGAGTGGCCTTCGTGAAGGGGGCACACAAAATGGATTAATTCCACAATAGATGTCAAAGAAAAGTCACATTGAAAAATGAACCATTAACTCACTGACTTGATGCTTTTTCATCTTTAAAGCATCACTCAAGAAACCAGGAACCTAATGGGTTTTTGACAGCAAATATTGACAGGATCCAAAGCAGCCTAAGAATGTGTCAAGTAGCTAATCACTAATGTACACCTTAAGGGACTGTCAGAGGAGTGCTTTGTAAACGATGAGCAATGTTTCATTATTGTAATTGTAGGGCAGTAATATTTGAGTGACAAATTATAGGCTAAATTATAGCCATAAGAAAAATTCCTTATAACTAGAATTTGATGGAGTATGTAGACCTGTAGCTTTCGATTTTTATTCCATTGGCCAGAGAATTGTGCCTTATTCTTTTTCCTTTCACTCACCTGCTCTGTTTGAGCACAAGTAAAATAACTGCCTGATGACTCGATTGCCCCATTTGTAAATTGGATCTGATATTTATTAGTTGAAATGGATTTGAAATATGAGCTAAATTTTTATGAAAGAAGAAACAACCAGAAAAAGTCTAACGTCAGTGACCTAAAGTTGATGTATGATTAGACTTGCTTGATGTGATGCTATAGATTCTATATGAATGCAAAGGAAGCGGGGTTGTTTTTCCCATTGGTAACACATTCCCTTGTATTTCTTTTTCCTCGTTGAAGATTAGTCATCTTCGATGTTTTTAAAAATGCCCCTGACTCTACAAACCTGGTGCATCACTGTCCCAAGCTATACAAAATTTGTTACATCCTCAAAGGTGGGAATGGAAAAAATCGACTAGATCATCTTTTGCCAGAACAGGATACAGTTCCCTGATAATAGACTTATCTGATGTGAAATGAATACTGCACTTGGTATCAGCAAGTGAAGAAAAGTTGAAAGAATTCCCTGTAAATTAATCCCACTACTCCCTTAATTATTTGTATTGTTCTCCTGTTTGGCCCCAGACTGAGCGGGGAGGCTGCTGGAAACAATATTCCCTCCACAGCCACTCCTACAATGGAATGACGTCTTCTTTTCCCAGTGGGTTAGATGCAGATAGTTGCCAGCCACTGGGTACTGACAATTCCTATCCACGTCACTTTCCACCGTCATTGTTCTCTTATCTCCTCCTCCTCTATGGTTCCACTCAGGCGCTCCTTTTACTGCAGGAGGCCTTTGGAGTTTCCTCCCACTGAGTATTTGTTACAGATGACCCCCTACTGATTCTATCTTTGGTTTTCAAAGGTCCCGCCTAGCTCCTTCCTCCTGCATGGGGGAGAGAATGTATAGCCGCCCCCATGCCATTCTCTGGCCACAGGCGAAGAAAACCCTATACGGTTACATTTTGCAATGTAACTGTTCCTGTCTTTGTTTTCCTACTCGGCCAGTTTTAATTCTTCTTTGAAATAAGCAAGATATGGCATTTTGAAATTTCTAGCCTCTTCATGGGAGACATTCAGAAAGAGGTGTATTTATTTTCTCAGTAGCTGATTAGAAAATGAGATTTTATTTGATATATTGACCTAAGTTAGGAGAGCAGGTGCACCAATTAAAAGATAGTCCTACCTATTTTAACATAAAATTACATATCATTAGAATGCATAATTTCTTTGTCTTTAGGGATTCTTGAAATGTGGAATGGATTCAGAACACATAAAACTTTCCCATTCAACACAATTTGGAGAAACTTCCACTACGCCACTGTTCTTCACCCATGTTTCATATTGAAAAGTATTTTTTTCCCTCTCTCTCTGTTCTCAACACTTTGTTCTCGTCAATAATTTCTCAAATGACTCAACTGCAGTCTCAATATCCAGGGGAAAACAGATTTCAAGAATGTACTGTGCACATTAAGGTAATGTGTACAGTTGTTTGGGAGCAGGATATATTTCTGAAGTACAGGTGTATGCCAGCCTCAAAAAAAAGACACCTTTTAGCTGGTCTAGGACTGCATGCTTCATGTACCCAGGAAAGATCACCCACTGGAGGTAGCCATGGGCCCCCTCTAAAGTTTGATTACTACATTCAAATGCTGGCTACACTTTAAAGGAACCAGCATTGTAAACCATAAACACTGTATTATAGTGAGTTATGTAAGAAAGAAAGAGAAGCTCCATGCTCAAAAAGGAAAAAAAGGTCTAGCTAGACTATCAGGGTACAATTTAGTAGGGCTAAAGACTAAGCCCCCACTCCTGGCCCAGCAGGCAGGCTTGGAAGGCTTGAATAGATAAGGGAATGGATAATAAAACCCACCACCTTGACCAGAAAAACCAGCCCAGCTCCAAGAGTGCAGAAGCAGAGGCCAAAGCAAGTTTGTGTCAAAGGCCAGCGCCAGAGACCAGACATCCCAGCAGATAACTAGTGCAAACTGGCACCCCAAGTTAGAAAGCCCATGAAAACACAGTATAAAGAGAGCCTCAACTCCTCAACACACAGACCCCTCCTGTCTAGCCTGCTGCTCCTCTTAGCAGTATATTTCAATAACTCCGCCCTTTCTGTTCTCTACTGTCTCTGGTGAATTCTTCCACCCCTGTGCCTCCAGCCTCATCCTGGTATTTCCCCCATAACACTGACTCTAACATTAAAGTAAGTGGCAAATGAAAGTTCATCTTTTATGTTTTAACTTTAAATAACATGTTAAAGGAAGGTTGTATCATTATTGTTCTTAGCTTTAATAAGTGTATTTGATGAACTGACCAACCGTGGGTGGTGACAGTCTATTCCTTTGCACCAAAGGTTGTCCTATACTGGGAATCTTTTTTTTTCCCTTTTTTTGTGGGACCCTCGCCGGCTGCCGGGGATCAAACCGGTGCTGCAGAGGCTGCGGGTAGCCTCACAGCCCAGCGCCCAACCGCTGCGCCACCAGGGGAGGCCCTACTGGGAATCTTTTTTTAAACTGGAAATCCTAGACAGAAACGGAGCCCCTAGCCCCGGTAGGTATAT